CTTGCGTGTATCGTATCAGAGCTAGTTCCAACAAACTGATGTTTCTCAGGTGTGTTCGCGATATCACGGGCATGATGTTCACCGTGAGGACAACGCCTTGACAACAAGAAAAGCCTACAACAACACCAGCGCACACTGCCGTACACATTACAATAGGTCGTGCTGTACTCCTTCCCGCGTTTCGGTGGTGGAGGGAAATTCAAAAATGTGTAGTCTACAGTATTGGAGTACAGCAGCAGTAGTGTTGCGGCCTTCAATTGACGTGTTGTCGCAGTTTTTAAGCAGCACAATTTCGTGGTCGCACTCCTGCTTCAAATGCGCGTATTATGTTGACACATGTTACACCTCCATTGACCCCGGGGACGGTGAGTTAGTGGCCCCGGAATCCTAGAGACACTTCCCCGCGTTAAAGACACTCCAACAAAAAAAAACGCGGTGTGTCTTTAAAGCGGGGTCGACTGTATGTGGAAGCCAGGATATTCGTATCGTCGTATACTTACACACATACGAAGAGAGTGAAGAACATTCGACAGACGATAATTCACCGCTATACTCGGGATCTTTACTCTGTGGGTTATTTGCTCCGACAGGAGTCGGGGTGGATCTTTATGGTTGGTGCCGAGAGCCAAGAAGGGTCTCGGCCAACGCCCACTCGCAACCTTACCCTAGCCTTGACCGAGCACGCTTGGTCACGGCTTGACATTCCTCGTCACATCTCAACGGAGGTAACTGGCCTGCCTCCGGTGGTAGGCATATACCACCTCGCCATATTGGGACCTCAGCTCACACGGAGTTGAGGGAATTCACATGTTCGTGAAATGCCATTTTTTCAGTCCATCTGGTCTCTCCAGTTTGTTTTTTCTACGCATACTTGTCCCCCCTGACCCTCAAAAGAGCTTTACTACGGACCATCCGGGGTCACGCAGGCGCTAAAGGCAACCTGCCTTCCGTCAAGATTGGTGTATTACAAAGATGAAAGCGGTTTGATTCTTGATCCGATTGTACCATCAAACAGTCATCGCCACATGCAGCCACATACATGCACTCCCGTTGGCGCGTCATCGTCGCGAAACCTGCAGCAGAGAGACCACCATGGAGCACACACGGAAGCCAAGGGACACAATAATATATGTCCAATTGCGCTCGACGACTAATAACACGGACAATAATTCGCAAGAGGCGTAAACACAGAAGAAGAGAGACGTATTTCTCCGAGCAGCAGCTCGAACTACACGATACGCAAGTTTCACCAAAATCCTAAGTCAGACCAAGAAAACACTACACATCACCACTACAACAACACTTGCCTCACACACCGCAACGGTATCGTTGGGGAAGCTCTTGCCACGTACTTATCCCAGCCTCAATTGACACCCTGACCTCCCTCATGATTGATCACGAATAGCAGCCTTGCAAAACAGTGTGTCCTCCCCCCCCCCCCCCCCCCCCCCCCCCCCCCCCCCCCCCCCCCCCCCCCCCCCCGAGCCTGGCCCGGGCTTCTTTCCGGCTTTGTAGGGATGCAAGG